CTCTGTTAACAGAGCCAAATATGGCAGAATCTATTTTATTTGCAGAAGTGCAAATTTCCAAGCAGCTGAAACTCAGTGAGCAGACAGAAGAAGGCACAACTGAGACAACACAAAATACATCATCCAGAACTGTTTAGGATTTTGTGACTCAGCGATGCTAGCAGGAAATGGAGAACAAAGCAAGGTCATCATACACATAATTCTCCCATTTGTGGGAGATTACTGCGTTCCATCAGTCAAATAAGAATTATTGCTGGCTGAGGTGGAGACTCATAGTTGGTAATGCATTAGATGAGTCTTGGCAAGTAAAACTGTTGGGCTTTCAAGTGGGAAAAGTCTTTAATTTCTAAAAAAACTCCTCTGTTCTACTTCCTTTTGTTTTCCTTTTGGCTAAAAAGGATAGGAATGTCAATACCTCACAGAACATGGTTTGTATCAGGTGTTCTGTATATATTCAATTTTTCTGTAAAAAAACCCCACAAACTTCATTTACAAAAAAGCATGAAACCATCCTACTGAAGAGATACAAAAGCATCCAATGCTCTTGGTCGTGTAATTATCAGTTGTCTACCTACTGTCACAGAGCTCTCTTGTGAGGAATGCTGGGAGAAGTGTATGCAAGGGTCAATATCTCTCTAAACAGCCTGGTAATGGTGCAAAACCACACAAAACATCTTGGTCTTCAGTCACTTCTTCAAATATTTTTAATCCTTGTATTCTAAACTAAATTTCCCCCCTTACTCTGACACATGGCATCACAAGACTCTACCAGCAAAGAGGCAAGTTCCAGAGACACCGTAACGTGGTTACTCAAAAAGCAGTAATTCTAAATTGGCAAGTTTTATTCAACTTATACTATTTGCTATCCTAGATTTGAATGCCTAAATTTACTGTTCCAAATGTTGTCAAATCACTAATATCCTCTTGCAAGTCATCTTAATTTCCAACATAGTAATTTTCCTGTAATGACTCTTCATTTAAGAGTACATGTTTACAATTTTCTACCATTTAGGTGATTTAAGTATATCTACTGAACGTCCTGGTCTTGGCAGCAATAAATAATTTTCTTGACAGATGGAATATGAAAAAAATACTAAATAAAACATTTTCCCAAAACATAAATAGCTGGCAGTTATCCCTCAGAAATAAAAGTCCTTCGTAACTTAAAAGCAACCAGCATGACATGTTCTCTGTAAAGACAAGGTCAAGAATTTAGTTATGCCCTTAACTAATGCCCTAAGCAGTGAAGACGGCAGGCTATGAGGACAACATAACAACCATTTAGATGCTTCCATTCATTATTTCTCTTTTTTCCCTTCTTTCTCTCTCCTCTTTCAGTGACAGCATAATCCAGGTGCTCACAAAACTGCCTCTTAGTCCTTCCTGAAATTTACCTTCCCAACATCTAATCTAATCAGATGTGACATGCACACCATGTATGGGCTCTGCTCACAAAAACAAAGAGAGCAATGTTAAGGGATCACTGCTTGCTGTATGAAATAGAAATTCAATTGTAAAGACACAAAAGAAAGGGATGGTTAAATTTGTACTGATAAAATCACTTGCTATCCAATGAATTTAGATACAGCAATCAAGGTAAATGCAACCAAAATTCACAGCATTATTTATATATGTGTGTATGTTATGATGTTTATAAATAGATGTATGGGGAGATGAAAAATTTCAGACTGATACTTAAAGGAATCTCAGTTTAGAAAAATGAATCCCACAGTAAATCTACTGAACGTCCTGGTCTTGGCAGAAATAAATAATTTTCTTGACAGATGGAATATGAAAAAAATACTAAATAAAACATTTTCCCAAAACATAAATAGCTGGCAGTTATCCCTCAGAAATAAAAGTCCTTCGTAACTTAAAAGCAACCAGCATGACATGTTCTCTGTAAAGACAAGGTCAAGAATTTAGTTATGCCCTTAACTAATGCCCTAAGCAGTGAAGACAGCAGGCTGTGAGGACAACATACCAACCATTTAGATGCTTCCATTCATTATTTCTCTTTTTTCCCTTCTTTCTCTCTCCTCTTTCAGTGACAGCATAATCCAGGTGCTCACAAAACTGCCTCTTAGTCCTTCCTGAAATTTACCTTCCCAACATCTAATCTAATCAGATGTGACATGCACACCATGTATGGGCTCTGCTCACAAAAACAAAGAGAGCAATGTTAAGGGATCACTGCTTGCTGTATGAAATAGAAATTCAATTGTAAAGACACAAAAGAAAGGGATGGTTAAATTTGTACTGATAAAATCACTTGCTATCCAATGAATTTAGATACAGCAATCAAGGTAAATGCAACCAAAATTCACAGCATTATTTATATATGTGTGTATGTTATGATGTTTATAAATAGATGTATGGGGAGATGAAAAATTTCAGACTGATACTTAAAGGAATCTCAGTTTAGAAAAATGAATCCCACAGTAAGAATATGTGACTGCAAGTATAAGCTAAAGTAAATTAATGCAGCAACAACAGTAGTGATTCTCAGAATAGTGTACAGGGGGGTTTAAATATGTGAGAAGTATAACTAAGCAGGCATTTTTAAGACGTGGAAATTACTAATAAGCAAGAATTAAATATATCAGTAATGTGGACATTTGAAATAACAGTAAGTCGGGGTTGAATTTAGATAAAATAGATAAAGCTATTTCAAACTATAAAACTAAAACCTTAATATTAGAATGAGATCATTGATTGCCACTTGGTCCAGGGAAGGCAAAAGCAGAATATGTCCAGTCACATAACCCTGTTGTATTTCCACTGGTGCATCTTCCCCACCCAGCCCAGGGTTTGAAGGATGTTTTAGCCACAAAGCCTTTCCGAGCCCTGCTGGGCTGAGTCTGAGGAGGAAAAATCAATTCCACATTTCACAAGACTTGTCTGGGGTTCATTAAGAATTAGGACCTGCAAGAAGGGGTTTTTTACATGTCATCTATTAAGTACCTGTTATGTTCCACAGTCCCTGCCCAGAACACACGAGAGCCAGCAGTGCCACTCACCTCCGTGTGCCCAAGGACACAGCTGCCCCAGGGGTGAAGGCAACTGCAGTCCCCAGCCTCAGGTGACACTCACCCTGCCCTCAGCTACAATTCACTGCAGCACAGCAGCAGAACAAGGGCACAATTCACAGCCAGCACTCATCCTCTGCCAGCTCACAGGGCAAAGAGAACTCTGCAAATGCACTGAGTCTTAAAAGAGGCGTAAGAACTGATAATATCAAATGTGAGATTGCTAGGTATACCAGAATACTAGAAAATTATTTCCTAAAGTGAAGTTGCTTTACCTAGGAAAAAAAGCTGTCTAAATACCTTGAACTCTGGGCTGTGCACCAGTCCTACAATAGGAAAAAAAATTAGAGTTATTCTAGAACCATTTTGGATAACATATAGTGATTGCAAGTATTGAAGAAAATAACTCTAGGAAATAAAGGTTCAAAGCATTAATAAAGATTCCTCTAATTACATTAAACAGCTTTAAGTAAAAAATAGATACAATTTCACTTTACTGCATCTCATAAGAGACATTAAAACTGATTTGCTATTTATGCTGAATGAAAAGGAGGAAAGATTTCATCTAAAAAAATCAAGCAGTATCACTGCTGGTTCAGCTCAAAGGAAAGAAACAAAACCCTCAAAATGTTAAACAAAGTATATTTCATGAAAGGTTTTAAGTTTTTGAAAAACAAATTAACATCAAAAGAAACTCTCAGAAAACCAAACTTTCTTTCACTTGATTCTTCTATGGACAATTTTTTGTGAGCTCTACTTACTGTTTACCAACCTTTTAAAAAAAACAGAAATTATTACAGATGCTTAAACACCCAGAATAAAAAATGCCACAAATAGCAAAAAAATGTTAGCATTATTGAAGACATTAAATCTGATATTTATTTCTAATTTATTCTAGAAGAAAATAATAAAAATTATGATTTTAGAATCTTAAATTGAAAACTACACCAATACCACTGTTTTGCTGGCTCTCACTCCATTAATATCAATATGTGTTACGCAGCTGGTTTATATTTCACTTTAAACTGCAGCTGTATTTCAAGGAACCAAGCTGGTTTATATTTCACTTTAAACTACAGCTGTATTTCAAGGAACCAAGCATCTGTTGGTTCACTGAGCAACCACAAAAAGTCCAGACTTGCTCACAGCCATAGTGCCAGAGCCCACGGAAAACACAACAAACTTTGGTAAATGCAATCCCCAGCTCTGCAGCATTTTCTGTTGTTAACCCAGACAATGCTTTCCTGATGTTTTGTTACCTACCCGCACGGCATTGGCAGTCACCTTTTGCAGCTACATTGTTAAATCAGTTTCTCAGCAATAATTTATCCTGCTGACATCACTCAAGAGACAATTTCCCAAGTTTTCAGAACCTCTCAAGAGTGAAGCCCTTTTGTTGATTTCTCCAGTCACCCCTCTCCATACAATCATACAGAACAAGAACAGGCTGTAAAACATTTCAAGTCATACCTCATCTTAGTGAAAATCAGAAAGCTGATTCATCTGGGCAGCATACAAACCAATCTAATATTCAATCAAAAATATTTTGAAAACATATCACTTAAACTATCATTTCAGCTATCATATACATTTCCTGTTTTTTCCTTTAATCCTCATTTTGTATTTTATATTTCAATTCCTTTGAAGAAACAGTTCTAAACTAGGCTTTTAATCCAGAATGAGTATTTCAAATAATATTTACAGTCTTATCTGTTCTTAATACAGGTCTCTGAACTGTACTAAAAATGGCACTTTATCTCAAACATTTGTATAAAAATAAAATCCTTAGATTTAGAACACAAACTTAGAATACTTTTTTTTTTTCTCTGGAATATCATCAGTTATTTTACAGTAATAAAAAGAAAATCGTTAACAAACAAACAAAAAAGAGCAATGAATGGTTTTTATTTTTAGCTTTTTAATCATGGTTTTAAATTAAGAGGGAGAAGAGTCAGAAATGTTCCTACTGACCTGAGTCCATAAAGGACTGTTCCATCTGGATGCAGACGAATCATTCTGTTCTTCACAGTAACACCATGAACAAATGACTTCTTGTCATTCAGGAAATAGGTATCAGGCACCCAGAGCTGATCAGCTACTCTGTTGTCCAGGGTAAGGTTTAGAGGTATTACATTGTAGGACAGCCTCTTATCCCTCCATGCTTGCTGGAAGTACATTGTCAAGGTATAGTCCTGTGATCAGAAAAAAAAAAAAAAAAAAAAACAAAAAAACCAAAAAGTTTGCATTGAAAGATACATATGCAAAAAAATTACAATGCAAATGTACATGTATTCCCTGTGACTGTTCCTAAAGGCAAACATTTCTGTTCAGAATTTCCAGAAGTAGACTTAGTTATTTTTTCAGTACTGAACATCTTCTATGCACTTAATAACAGCAGTGAGAACACAAAGATGATGGGGCATTTAAATTTTATGAATGACTTGGAAGTTCTCACTTCAATATTTAAAAATAAAATTTAAAAAATTGTAGAGATTTAACAGCCTGTAGCACTTTACAAGCCTGGGAGTTCTAGGAAATAGGAGCATTCACAGATCCAAATTTAATTTCAAGGTCTCCACTGTATTCATAGAGCTCTGGATCAAGCCTTCTGTTCCTGAAGTTGCAGTCACCACCCAAAGACTTCCCTAAATTAAAATTTCTTCTAAGTCTGTTAACTTTCCCCTGGGCACTGAAACCAATGGGAATTTTTTAAGGTTCCTAAGCTACACACTTAGCCTTCATTTTACAGATGAAGTAACTCTGGTTACTTCAGGAGGACAATTCAGAGAGCACAATTAGTATCTCAGTAATTATTCACAGTATTATGAGACTTGCATTGTCTTGATGCAGACCACCACTGTACAGTGCTTCAGAGATGTTTTGACTTCTTGATTTTTTAAAGAATAATGCATTTGCAAAGGTTATACCTTTGTCAAAATTGTTATCCAGATGCAGAATAATCATTATATTTAGCCAATGCTAAAAACCCCTCTACAAATAGTACAAAAAATATATTGAGAGCAACCCTGTGGAGAAAGACTTGCAGAAATGGCAATATTAGTTCTTATTCCCTGTTTTATGTTGTAAAGGAGAATCCACTATTTAAAGCATTTTTATTACACTTGGAAAAGAAAAAATTAACTTCCTGCTGAACTACTTTAAAAGTATATGCCACAAGTGTATTTTACAAGCATTCTCATTTAAAAGGATATTTGACATATGAACATTATATAGAACATCTCGGAAAATACAAAAATAAATTTTTCTTATTCTGCAGTTTCACAGACTGAACATCCCAGCAGGATCACTGAAATTGGGTTGCTGTAGTTATTTTCTTTACAATGTACAACACCCACCCTTGAACTAGGAAGGGCCTGTGAGAACTATGGCTATTTCAGCAGAATTCTGTAAGCAATGACACAGAACCTTGAAACTAAGTGACCCTGCCTCTTCTGCAGAACAGTGTGCACTCAGAGAAATCAGTATAAACTATTTTTTTATAGAAATGTGCATTTCAGTGGTGGAAAGACTCTTATTTTTTGCCTCATCTCACCCCAGAAGAGCCCATGTTCATGGGCTTGAAAATGCCTCTTCAATTTTCAGCGAAGCAGGGGGAAATACATGTGCTGTTGTGAATAGTTAGTGCATTTCTTCCTTACCAACACAAACCACAGATGGTACTGCTGTCCCTCCAGTGCTCCTGTCTGCACTGGTTACAGTGCAGCAAGGTCAATCCCCTTCCCTTGCTGCACCCCTGGCATGCCTGGAACCCCAGCACCTTTGGCCAGGTGCCACAACAGCCACTCTGCAGGGACTCAAGTAGGCAAACACCAAATAAGCCTTCCCAGTTGTTTAACTACCAAATATATTCACCTGGTGCTGTTCTACAATCTGGTCAGTTTTAACAATCTGAAGCCTCTTCCCACCTCCCCAGGATCAGGATAAGATTCTGCTTGCAAGAGCATTCCACCTACATCAGAAGGATTTTACTGTTATGCTTCATCACTGTTCTGCAGCATTTGATTCATAACCAGCTATCAGAAAATCTCCAGTAGGAAAATTTATTAGTCTTTATGATACTAATATATCACATCATCAAGTAATGATCTGTAGCAATTGTTTCTCTATTATCCTTGGAAAGCTGCATTTCATTCCTATTCCAAAGAATAGCCTACATGTATTAATATGCTGCATAAATACATAGAACATGCTTTCCTTTTTAAACCTCAGTAAAAGAGGAAAAGAAGAGGAGGAAAAACCCTAAACATACATGGTTCATTGCATAGAAGTGAATTACATAAAACTATGAATTTGGAGCACTGGCATTAGTGAAGGAAAAGCCAAGTCACCAGGCTGGAGTTTAAAATCAAACACACTGTGTTCCAGAAAGAGCTGGTGTTCTGACTAAAAATTATTTGTCATCTGTTGGCCCTGGTTTTCAGATGTGACTGAAGTTTCTGATGGTCAAAACAGAAATCCTTTGAAATTGTTATAAAACTCTCACAAGCTTTTGAATTTAGGTGGTTTTTTTAATGATAATTTTTAAAAACCCCAAAGATGTTCCAAGCTACATATTTCAAAGTGAAATTGATAAGACAGGAAAAAAGCAAAACCTGTCACGTAAACTGTGATCTATTCCTTAGAACAGAGAGAGGCATCTGTTTTCAAAATCCCAAATGAAAGAGTAATTCAAAAAAGCTGTGCTGGTACAAAATGTCCCTAAAGTATCCCAAGACCCTTTACATGATGACATTAAGAACACTCTCATCTAATAGGAATACTACAAGAAAAAAGACTGTTAAACTCACTTTAGGCATGGGTATATTCCCCTCTATTCTAGGGATAAATATCAAATCAAATATGTAAATATCTTGTCTCTAGGAAGAGAGGCACACAAAAGAAGTAGAGGACTAGAAGTAAAGGATGATTTTATTTTGTTAAGGTTTAGCATCCTTTTAAATTCACAGGATGGGATTGTTAGAAGCAGTGTAAGTTTGAAGAGGAAACAGGAGCAAATTCATTTTCACAGCCTTGCACAAGGGACTAATTCCAATGAGCTGAGAGAACTCCAAGCCCAAAGCTCCTGATGACGGTGTCAGTGTAAACCATTGCACAGACACAAACTGCAAAGGTACAGACTGTTTGCAGCACAGCCACATGGACATATTTCTATATAGAAGTAGAGATTCCTCAGTTGCCCTGGACAAGAAATGCTTCATAAAACTGTATTAGTGTTGACAAAAATATAAAGAAGCAAACATATTTTCTGTAAATAATATCCATTTTGTAGTTTTCATTATTATTATTTTATTATTACATTGTTTGCCTAGATTTAAATTTAATAATTCTTTGTTCTGTCTAGAGCAAAAATCCATCAGAAAATGGATCATTACCCCTACTCTGTGATCAAAGAAAAGATGTCACTTTTCCTCACCTCACCTTTCCACTTTCCCTCTTCTTTATTTCATACAATGAACAAAAGAGCAGCAAATACAAGACAAAGTTAATGTTTACGCATAACTTTCCATATGAATGAAAAAGTATCAAACAGTTTCATTAGTATTAGCATATTCATGAGTAACTTTTATTCTGCACATTAACTCTGTGCAGTGGTTGCCTGCAAACAAGTTAGCTGCTGGAAGTGTAAATACACTGAGGATTTAAACTTGTATTTAGATAAACAGAAGTATTACAGACAGACATGGTGTCAGCGAATGGCCATCAATTTCAATTACGTAACAGAAGATAGTGGACAGGAATGCATCAAATCTGAATAGTGGCATTCTTATTTATAGTCTCACATTTCATTCATGCTCTCAAATAAATATTTAAGCAAAAAACAAAAAAGAAGCCAAAAATCAGTTTGGGTCTATTATTAGTTTAAAAAGATTAGAATACAGGCCTTAGCTAAACCCACCCATGGGCCAATAACTGACATATTGCTGATCCTCTTCTTATATTGGAAAAAGGATCAAGGCAAAAAATGAAATAGAGGTCATGAATATTCACAATGACAGTGGGTGTCTAATGCAAAAGACTCTACCAGATGTAAATTTTTTCAAAGCATAATAAGGTCCAATGTGAGAAAACATATTTAAAATATAGCTCCTTCTTCTGCATTACACATATCAGGACTGATTCACACTGCAGCTTAAAACTGTAACCAACACTTGTATTAATGGGGATAGAAACCAGCTATTGAAACACTGGAAGCAATAAAGGCAGAAAACCTCAGAGGAGAAAAAAAATAAGAAGAAAAATAAGCAGAAGGAATGTACAATATCTAATGTATAAAGTGTACATTCTGTGTATTGTAAACATGGAGTGAAGACTATAGACAGTGTATAGACAGAGTGAAGTTGAAGCTGTTAATCACTGCTCTGCAGTAATAAATGGAGAGCTCATTTGTGGTTTGGCTTAAGTCCACTCCTCATCACATTCCTGATTATTACTAACTTGTAAAAATTCTTTACTACATTTCCACATATGGCTATTTTAAAACAGAATAATTCCCTTCTGAAAATGCTTGAAGCCAAAGACTTTGCCTGAGCATTACTTTTATTTAACACATACTTTTATAAAACTGTTTGTTGATAACATTTAAAAGTACTGATTGACAATCCTTTCAAATATTTTTATTTAAAACCAGCCTCTACAACATGTTTGATTCAAAATTATCTACCTCATTCTCTCATTGAGAAAAAAATAATGTAAAAAGTCTGCTTAATGCTAGAGACACCACAAAATACACAAAGTGACATATAAAAGTAGGAAGAACTGTTGAAGGAATGGGTGATACCAAAGAAAAGCCAAAATAGTCATACGCCCTTTCAAAAAAAAGTATTTTTCACATTCTGTGAATCTTTACTTCAAAATAAACAAAAACCCCTCACAAAACAAATAAAAAAGCCACAAACAATGACATCAGGAACCTTACACAGAATTCAAGTTGAATTCTCTCAGTCTAGCAAATCTGACTTCCCAAGCTGGCTTTAAATCTGTGAAACACTTGTAATTAACTGAGTCTCCTAAAACTTACTAGGGGAGTTTTCCTTGATGGGAATTACATCTTCACAAGTTTATGATCTTTCCAAAAAGAAGATCCTAGCACCAAGCTTACCATTTATTTTGCTGTGACTCTCTTGGAATTATTCATCAGCAATTCTCATTTGTCAGCTGAGCAAAGCACCAA